CTCTCTCTCTCTCTCTCTCCCCCCCCTTCCTTTTTTTGCCGGAAACACTGCACCCTGTTGTTGTTTCTCTGCTATAGAGTGCTGCAGCTTTGGATTATTATCTTTCTGTTTTTTTTAATAGATTGGAGGAGGTGCTGATGTTGGGACTCCGGATGGATACAGGAATCACACACCAGGTAAAGCTCTAGTGTCTAGCGATGGTGGCAGCAGCTGCTCTTACAGCTGGGTGGAAACGACACTCTTCAGGAAAAACAGAATGGATCTGCAGCCGCGCCTGTTGTAGCACCCAATGCCAAGCCATACTGAGATTCAAAACAACTTCCAGAACAGTTATTTTCTGCTCCAGTTTTTTTTTAGATACACCAATTTCAGGCAGTATAGGACCACCTATTTTTCCCTGCCAATTTTTTGCTTGCCCCTTCTCCCTCCCACTTGTTCACCATTCCCCCTCTTACTCTTCTCTGTTTTTGATTCCACACACAGACCTTTTAGGCCTTCATGCAAATGTTTTTAATCTGTATTTGAAATTGCACGTCCAAATAAGCATACGGAAACCTTTCTGAAAAAATAAAAGAGGGCAGGAACAGACCCAAGTTTCTGATCATGTGACCTTGTGCCTAGCCCCCCCTCCCCCCCAGAGAAGTGTGCACACTTACCTACATTGCATTAAACCAGATTTAAATCAGCACTGCAGCTTGGCCACCTGTCTCAAGTGGGTCACCCCAATCTGAAGCTCAACAAATACATTTTTCTGGTTTATCACAATGCTTTTGCTTGCCCCTTCTCCCTCCCACTTGTTCACCATTCTTGTTCACGGTGGCTGCAGGTTGAAAAGTCTGTAGGTCGAGGCTCTATTGACTTACAATGCATTGAAAACCGATTAATCCGTAACCGGCCGTTTTTGTCCATTTCGGGATTTTTCTGGTCTGTAGGTCGATTCTCCGGCTGCAAGTCGAACCTAAATTTTGCGGCCAGAGAAGTTTGTAACTCGAAAAGTCTGTAAGTGGAGCCATCTGTAAGTCGAGGATCCACTGTAGTTCCTACTTTAAATACTAGCTGCTTAAAATGAACCAGAAGAAATACAGTAGTGTATTTATTTTTACATTCATACTTCTGTTTTCCCATCTCCTGGCCTGAAAGTCCCCTAAAGCAGCTAACAAAATTAATTGGTACTGTTTAAAACAAGTCCATTTAAAAAAAGGATAACATTTGTAGATCAATATTATACAAAATGTATAAACAAAACCAAACTTCATGTAGTATATAGGCTTTAAACCAATTGATTTCTGCACACCTCATCCCGGGGAACAACTCCTGGTAACAGACTGCCACCAGACAATAGTCTCTGCTTCTTGTGGACACACATTTGAACTCTGATGATGGAGCCAGATGCACATCATGCTCTTAAAGTGTGTATGCTGGGAGACTGTGAAATTCATTGAGACTGTTTTATATCCGATTTTGAAGAGGCCTCCCCCCCATACTCTGAACTTTGGTCATCAAACTTTTGATGGTGGAGTAGGGGCAAAGTTACTCTTTTTATTTCTAAATACTGATAAGCACTTGGTTTTTTGACAATAGAATCTTCTTCTTACAGCATTGGCTACGGTTTGCCCACAACCTCAGTTTGTGGGACGTATTTGCAGAATCAAAGGAGGTGAAAGAGTTAGAAGACAATGGCTTGTTGGTTTTAGACAACAGGTGAGGGATTGTGTCATTCTTCTTTCTTGGGAATAGGGATCCTGCCAGCTCTTGGAGAAGTCTAAATTATTTTTTCCCCAGGGGACTTAGATGTTCTTGGAAAGGACTGGCTGTCCTGGATTCTCTACTGCTGATACTTCTTAACCAGCTCCAGAAGGCCTGGGTGAACAAAGACAAAACATTCAGTCAGACTTGAAATCCACATGCTGTACTCATCTAACTTCCAGGAGAGTAGAACTGAAAGGACATCCTTTTGTTGGAGGCTGAAGAGTATTTCCAGTTTGGAAAGTTATTCAGCTCCAGGGGTCAGATCCAGGGAAACACTTTCATATTAAAGGAAACCGTTTACATAGATTAGCCGAATTCAAGACTTGGTCTAAACTAATGCTGTGTCCATGAGGTTTTGCCCTTTGTACTAAACGGAAGATAAGTTGTTTTTCTTCTAGGGCCCATGATGACTTCTACATGAAAGAAACCGGTCAGGATATATTCTTAGGCTGCACAATGAATGGATTAGATGTGCTGTATTTTTGTGAATCCACAACAAAGAAAAGTTTCTACAAAAGGAAATTACTTGAAAATAACAAAATATTAGCATACTGTGTTCATAGGACAGCTCCCCATACTTTTTCAGTCAGCGCTCGCAGTCACAAAAGCACTGTGGTTTTTTGTATGAAAAACTTGTAGTTTGTGTTTAGAAACCCTGTATTTTGTACAAATACAGGCTTTTCAGTCTGAAAAACATTTCCATAGATTTTTATTTTTGCAAAGAAAGTGAAGAAATTAAGAGAAAAAGCACAACAACTCTTATAATCTTGTTGAGTGGGAAGAACATTTTTTGTCCCTACCTGAAAAAAATAAAAGATGTATATGCCTAGTTTCTGTTGTCTGTTTATCTCTAATGGAGTGACCCATGGTATTATCACAGGTGACAGGAAGTGGTGCTTCTGAGCTATGAACCTTTCTAAATCAGAGGATGCTTACTCAATATCTGTTAATGACACTGCTACAGGATAATGTCCTGTTTAGGCCTGTTAGGTCAAAACTGCAACAAGGACATACGGATTAAAATAGTACTTTGCTTCAGTTGTATAAACTAGAAAACAAAGGATATTCCTTACATGCTGGAAAACTTATCTTCAATGAATTAGCTGAAACTTTCTTATATTAAATTAAAACAAGGCACTTGGCAACATGAAGGTAGAGAGGTTTCCTCATGAAGGAATTCATGTTTACACAAAACACATTAGTAAGTTCCTACAAAAATAAAACCCCAAGGGAAAAAGAAGAGAGAGAAAAAGCAAAAATGAAACACAGTATTTTAATTTAAAATCTCATTAATTAAAATCTTAATATAAAATTACAGGCTTTACTGTAGGTAAACTAATTTTTTTTTTTTTTTACAAAATTACAGTACTTGAAAGAACAGGAAAGGAAAGGCACAATAGTGTGAGGACAATGGCAAACTGATAAAGCCAGTGAATTTGGCAAGTATGAGGAACGAAGACATTTGATTTTGAAATTCAGAAATTAATTGATATGTTAAAGAATCCCTATTATTAGCTTTTTATTTCCAGTTGAATCTATCTACCACTTTGGTACCAAGTTGACATTTCACTAGGTATAGCAGGAGACTGGAAACTGGGTTCATGCTAGCTAGCACAGTGACTCACTGCTTCATCCTGGGCTAACAATTCAACCAATCCTAGTCACAGTTTCTACACCTACTGAAACAGGGATGATAAATAAGAGCTTTGCAGAGGAAAGGCGTGCCATGAAACCATAGCATTCTCAGAATGTTAGCAGCTTGGAAGGGAAACCAGAGCAACCAAATGGAACACAGTAGATTGACCTGGAGTAGGGCAGGTCCCACGTCCTTAGGTGGCATGTCCTGATGACACCATTAATTGCTAGCTCAACCAGCTAGACAAGTAGTCTGTGTGAGATAAAAATTCAGCTACAGTATTGTAAAATAAGCATGCTGCTGGAAGAGGAGATAATAATGGAAGCCTACAGTTCAAAAGTGAATAGTATATTTCAGAGATGATTTAAAATCCAGGAATCTTGCCTTCCTGGGAGGCTGACCAGACAAGTTTCAAGGTTCCTTTCCCATAGGTTCCCCTTGACAATTTTTGTCCAGTCGTGTTCGACTCTAGGGGGCAGTGCTCATCCCCGTTTCCAAGCCATAGAGCCAGCGTTTTGTCCAAAGACAATCTTCCGTGGTCACATGGCCAGTGCGACTTAGACACGGAACGCTGTTACCTTCTCACCGAGGTGGTCCCTATTAATCTACTCGCATTTGCATGCTTTCAAACCACTAGGTTGGCGAGAGCTGGGACAAGTGACGGGAGCTCACTCCATTGCGTGGATTTGATCTTACGACTGCTTGGTCTTCTGATCCTGCAGCACAGACTTCTGCGGTTTAGCCCGCAGCACCACCACGTCCCTCCTTTCCCATAGCCATGGGAAAAAGCAGAATTAGAATCTCACAAATTACAAGAAGTGGCAAAATTCAAATTTCCTATGAGTAAATGCAGTAATTTAAAATACTTGGTAGAGTTTATTTTATTTTATTTTATTTTATTTTATTTTATTTTTTGCATATTGCTCCAATGCACTGTCTCTGGACCATACAAACAAGAGCTTGGCATTGGGATGGTAGTTTTAAAAAATGTACTTGAGTCACCCTAGAACTAGTCCAGCATGCCCCCAGGAGGAAAAAGAATATAAAAATAAAAGGGCTCTCAGAAACCAGGTATACAAAACATCCGTTGGCTGCCTGTGTCAACAGTGGTGTCTGCCCTCATAACCTGAAGGGATATTGCAACTCTGTTTTTTAAAGGTCGAATAAACAAAAGAGGAGAATGACTTCAACAAATCTGAAAACTAAATTAAAGTTCTGATATGTGTGTCTGAAGAAGAGTCTTCAAGGTGGCATAAGACTTTTTATTTAATTTTTTGACATTTCGCTTTTGTTAAACATTCTGAAACAGATGTAGCTACTTGCCAAATTAAATGGGCCTCCTGCCTGAGCTGTCTAGGGCGGGATACCTGGGGCTGAACTTAATTTGTAGGTATGTTCGGCTATATCATTTCATCTTCAACATCAAGGGGAAGTTAGGCTTCCTTCACAACGTGATGCCACACTGAGCTCCCTTGTATTATGTCTATCTCTGGCCCTTTAGGAGCTTTGCACTGAGAAGTGATGAAGTGTATAAATAATTTTAAAATATGCATAATCCAGTGTTTTAAATGTACCGCTGGAAAGAAGGAACTGAATTCTAATCAACAGCACTGTACAGTTTAAAGTTCATCCCAGCTCTTGAACAAAGACGTTCTTGATAATTTTAATCCTGTTCACTTATGGCCAAATACGTGTGTGACTACACAGCCTGGAAAATACAGTTTGATCCACTGTATATTGACTTCACTGAGTTTATCAAATCAGTGAATTGCCGCAGCCATCCAGATAACAATTTGCAGGAGTCAGAGAGCCTGTTTGCACAGACCTTCAATAGCAAAAGCTGCCTTAAGGTGCTAACAAGTTGTTAATTGGCAGTTTCCGTCTCTCTTTAGTTCTGCTCACTGCCTTAGTGAAACTCTGTACCAGTATTAAGTTGAAGCCTGTTGGCTTTTTTTTTTTTTTAAGAAACCATGGGAACTAGGGGTGTTCAGTTGAAGCGAACAGATACCCGTTAACACCCCTTTGCATTTGATCAGGAAATCACACTGGCAGAAAGCAGACACCAGCTATGTCAAGCCAATGGCAACACATTTAAACCACCCTTGCTGGCAGAACACAAACAAATAAACAAACAAAAAAGCTATTTCCTTCTCAGAAAAGATTATTGCACAGTAGGCTTCCCCACACTGAGATGTATGGTCACTAGGTTTTAATTTGAATTCATCTATGCCCAATCTGCTGTAAATTGCAGAGTGAATAGCCAGTGTAGCTGCTCCCTAGATTCAGCTATATTTTTATACCACTTTTCTCTAGAATTAGCACTGCTGGATTTCTTGCTATCTCCCAAGAAACCCCCCCCCAAGAAAAACCAACAACCCAGGAGTGCTCACTTCTTGCTTGTCTGTTTGGTTTTAAGAGTTGTTTTCAGCCATTTCTTGGCCTGGTGTGGCCTGTGACTCAGGGCTAGAATTTGCCCACTAAGGCCTCAGAATTAATCCACCTGTTCTGTAGGGTAAATGGTTTCTCTTAAATCTTTGTAAGCCACTGTGCGAATTAACTGAAGGATAGCTCTATGGATGCCTATAATAAAATACAGTTAAAAATGATGCAGTATCACTTTGCCTTGCACAGTTTTCCTGATCATGTGCAAAAGACTTAGGAATTTTGAGCTTAGGACGGATGCAGTGGAAAATGAATAGGCTGGAGCATTCAGAACATAAACCACAGTGTATTGATGTCAGTAGCTCTGCAGCTGGGTGTATGCAGGCAACAACACATTTGTTTTTTTTTCCTGTGGAGGGCCTCATTCCATTGGAGAAAGGTTGATGGGGGATACATGCTGGTGAGCATGACCAAATTCCTACTTCTCTATCTTTTCTCTTCTTTTCTCACTCTCCTTGAACCTATTGGAAGAGAGACAGCTCATCATGCCTGATATAGACAGATTATTTTGTTCCCCTTATTGTTTTGTCTCTTTTGGGCTCCCTTATTTTTCATTTCCAACCCACCTATATGAATTTAGGGTGTGAGTAGATGGCCAAATTATTCCAGCCTGGATTACGCTAAACAGGGTCACTTTGAAATATGACATGTCATTTGGGGCAATCCTTGCATTCCCAAAATGACCCTGTTTAGTATGCATGGATGGATCGCATCACACTTCAGGCCAACCCTATTTGGTCCTCCTTTCCTTTTAAAGGTAAAGAGAGAAATAACAAAATAAATAAATGGATAAATAAGTTTTGAAAATCCCATGCCTTGTCCCCTCCTGTTTCTCTTCTGTGCTTTGCTTAAGCTGCGTCATTATTTCGGTTTGGTTCCAGTGTGTGTGATCTCTAGGGTTGAACCAAAGTGGATGGCTTAAGCTGTCCCTTTGCTTAACATGTTTAACAACATAAATCAAAAGCTTCCCCTCACTCCCGAAAGGAGGTGGAAAGAGAGGAAGCTTTCTCCCTCTTCCACTGGTATATCACATTGCTTCTTTGGGATTTAAAAAAAAATACACCCCTTTTCTTTTCCCTCCTGCTTTATGGGGTAGTGTGAGGAAACTTTCAATTTCCTTATGTTGTTAAATGGCTTAAGCCATCTATTTTGGTTCAGCATGTAATCCTTGACATACAGGTTGCCCACCTCCATTGTCTGTAATCTGTTTTGTGTAATACTGTTGTTTCCACCCAAATACTCAGGAAAAAAGAGAGCAAGCGTCCCTGTCCCCCATCTTACCATCTTAAGTAGATGACAGAGGTAAAAGTACTGTAGAAGATAAGGAAATAAGAAAATAGGGAATATGAACTGGAGGCTGGGAAAATGGAAGAGGAAGAGCTGAAGCAACAAAAAAAGAGGTTCTTGGGATGAATCAGTTCAGATTTCACTGGAAAGGGAATTCCATAAATAATATTACACAGTAAAAATGGACAAATATAGGAAATCACAGTAAATGATCAGAGCCTCCAGAATAAAGAAATGAAGAGGGGGCTGTGAAGGAGAGATAAGGAGTGTGCCGTCCTCAGAGAAGAAAGACACTTTAGAAGAGAGTGGATGTGTGGAGGGGGTGTTAATAGAGATAGAGCAGGCAGACACGATAGAAGAAAAACCAGCAGAGGTGTGTCTTGCTGACGAGGGAGGGGAGGAGCTGGACCTTATTGTGTGGGAGGAGATAAAGGAGGAAAAAAGCGCGCGCGTTTTCAGCCTTTGGACGGATATGGATCCGGAGAGACGGATAAGCCGAGGGGTCCAAATGGAGCCCATGCTTGGGATAGGTACAGCGACCGGTATTGCCACGGAATTCCCGAACCTGGCAGTAGGAGGAGGTTTGCTCCCAGACCCTATAATACCCAGTGGGAGAGGGAAGGGGTACGATCCCTTGGAATGGACTGTGGTGGTCTATCCCCGGAATCACCCTGGTGGGAGGAGGGTGATCCGGCCTGGACCAGCTTTCCAGCAGAAGACCCTGGAGGGAGGCTGGGCGAGGCATCCGTGCTGTGGCACGGTATGTGCAGTACGGAGTGCCCCCCTCCGTCCCATAATAGATCGCGAACGGTTCGGACCGGCACCCTTTTAGGGGAACCTGATAAACTACCAGATGTGCGTCCTAAAAAAATACCGGTTGTTACCTGAAAGTTGTTTGCAAGACCCTTTTGATATGGCTGAGTTAAGTTCTGTTGTTAATAAAAATGCTAATGTTGGACCTTGCGAAGAACCTCCGTGTCTTTTTCCTGCCTTTACCACCAGTGCACCCCCGGCCATGGAAGAAGGGGCACACAATTTAGAAGCAAGAACAAGAAGATAAAGAATTTTTATATGAACAATACAGTGAAAGATGGGGGAAAGTGGAAAAAAACAAAAAAGTTAATAACTTGCTTCTTCAGCTAAGCAGTAAGGCACTTCAATATAAAATTTATGGTATGGGTTGGCTTTAGCTTGTGTGTGATATTCTAATAGGAACAAATAGGGGACAAGCAAGTGGAATATAATTGTCACAGGTAGGGTGGCTACAGGTTCTTCCAAGTGGGGCATTTGTACTCCTTAAAGTTCCCCTTAAGCCCTATTCTGAGAAGACCCCCCCAACATCTAGCATCTAGACTGTGTTCTTGTTATCCCAGTATATACTGGTATGCATGCCCCCCATGAGTTCCTTTATCTTTATGTTTTCCCAAACATTTATCTATTTCATCCTGCTTTGTGGCATTTTCTTGTCAATCCAAAGCTTGTCTTTTCTTTCATTTTCATCTTCAAAAGCAGCCACCGAAAAGCAGGATGAGGGAGTTTTGGTGCTTTTGCCCTACAGCATTTCCCTGGTTTATTCCTCCTACAAAACAGGTTGAAGAATGGGATATACTGTAATTTCAGAGCTGTCCACACTAGCATATAGTTATACTATAAGGAATCCTGATGGCCCTGTTTGCCATGGGGGGAAAAACCCTTTAATCTACTTGTGTTCCTATTTAAAACATTCCATCCTTCCCCTTTAAGAGCTGGCCTGTATCTTTCTGGCACAGGGCTAGGGCATCCAATCTTTTGGGGACAATTGATTGAGATGGAAATAGCTCTTTGTTCTGCCGTAAAAAATGGGTACCGAAAGTTAAAGCAGATTGAACTGAAGATAAAGGCCTTTTAAGCACCAGCTGGATCACACCAAATTGCACAGTGTGGACAGGCCTTTAGTTGACAGTCAATTTGGTTTATTGTAACACACTCTATGTCAGGCTCCCTTTGAAGACAGTTCGGAAACTTAAGCTGGTTGAAAATGCTGCAGCCATACTGCTGATTAAAGCCAGGTACAGGGATCATATCACCCCCATGTTACAACCGCTTCACCAGCTGCCTCTTCATATCCAGGCCCAAAGCAAAGTGCTGGTTGTGATATATAAAGCCATATGCAGGTTGGGTACAGGTATTTAATGGACATACCTCCCAATACAATACTGCTTGATCTCTGAGATCTGTAAAGAAATGCATTATTTCAGTCCCACTGACCTCCCAGGGACATTTGGTAAGAACCTTACAAAGGACATTTTTGGTGGCTGTGCCCAGTCTATGGATTTCTTTGCCTCACAAGGCTAGGTTGGCCCCTTCCTTAAAGTCCTTCCACCAGCAGGAGAAAACCCGTTCTTTTTCACATTGGCTTTTAAGATCTAAATGTGATTGCAAGATTGCATTTTTTAAAACAGGGGGATGCAGCATTTTTTTGCATATTATTATTGGTATTTTAATAAAAATGGTTTACCTTGCTTTAACTAATGTTGTTTTAAATATTCTGTTGGTTTAATAATATGTAAATGTAATTGGCAACTCAGCACACAAAGGTACACAAAGGCTGGATGGCAAAGGACCCATAGCTGCTGATTTGACAAGAGGGACAGAAAGAGGAGGGGGTGATTTTTCAGGGGCCGCCCAGCTTGCAACTCCTCACTACTTGAGGAGGAAACTCAGTTTGGATGCGCATCCAGGTAGATCTCATGCTTTCTCAGGAACAGGTGATAAAAAGGGGGCAGAAAAAAAACACATAAAAATGTCCCATCTGGAAATGGCCAAACTGCAGTCTAGGAAGGAACACATCTACAGTATTATGGCATCCTTTCAAAGCAAGTTTGTAAATTGTCAAAGCAGCAAGAGCTTTGCAACAGGATACAATGTTATATGTGAAATGTATTCAGATCTTGATGGTAAATAAAGATTATAAAGTTATTTTGTTTGTTCTATTTAAATCAATGGGTGTAACATTTTGTTGTTGTTTAGTCATGTCCGACTAAACCACTCCCGTTTAGTCGTTTAGTCGTGTCCGACTAAACCACTCCTCAAGCGGTATTTCATTGAGTCAGTGAATAGACTTCTACATGGTATGCAGAGAATTCCAATCAATATCAGGTTCCACCAAAACAGTGAAACATTACTTAGTTGTAGCTAATTACTTTTACTTTTCAGAGAACAAATGAAACTAAATGAGATCTTTTAAGCAGGCAGCTGGAATTGTGTTTTCAAAAATGGAGATTCACTATTCCTTGTCTATCCCATTGAGCATTGCAATGTGTAACCTGATATTTACACTCCTATCTCTCACTCATTTAGTTTGAAATCTTGGAAAGCTTCATAGCCACAATACCCAGCCAGGTTTCTGGGCTTCCCTGCATTTTATTCTGTTTTTTTTAAATTGCCTAGTCTAATGAAGAGCTCTGGAAAACACTTCTGTGAAATTTCACATGCCTTTGTGAAATTGATGTTGGTTTTATCAAAAGCATTGCCCATTTGTAGAATTTGGCTATGGACTATAAAGTTAAAAGAATCACTTTATGCTGCTGCTGCTTCTTCTTTCTTTCTTTTTTTACAGACACATGGAATTTGGCACCCAGAATCATGCTGCTGCTGCTGCTTCTTCTTCTTTCTTTCTTTTTTTTACAAACACATGGAATTTGGCACCCAGAATCGTATAGTGTAGGTGTATCATGATCAAAGGAACCAAAGTTAAAGACATCAGGTTTCCCAGGGGAAGTGTTCCAGGGAACAGCTCCCAACCTTGCTTCATCCACAGTTTCACTTTGATTTTCAGTAAAATAATGGACCAATAGCTAAGCCTCCATGCAAAGTGATATTGAGAATGAAAGCAAAAATTAGCAGCCACATATGGTTGGGAGTTGTTCCCTTAGAAACAGTTCCCCCTAGGGAACCTGGTGTCTTTAATTTCAGTTCCACTGATTAGAATATAGTGCGTGTTATAAGATGGGCAGCTCTTAACACACACACACACACACACACACAGAGCGAGAGCGCATGGATGACATATAGCAGATTTCTCCTATCTGTGACTTTTGTTGTTGTTACAACCTAAAAATACACTCTGATTTTCCTTATGCTTGTTAAGATATTATAACTAATAAAGGAAATTGTACTTGCCACACAGCAAGTGCAAATCTATTAAATAGCCATAGGAATACAAGACTCTTTAGGTTAAAGTAAGAGCAATTTGTATTTGAACACAGGACCTCCACCATATTGACTCTTCCTAAGCAGAAGCTGGTCCCACAAGAATGCTAACTGTCGGCAGACTGAAGAGGCTTGCCAACGAAGCCAAAGGTGAGAGAGGGAAGTCAATGGTGGGAGTGGAAGGGCTTGTGAGTTTCTGTCCATTGTCTTAGATTTCTGTTACTTTCTTATGCTTTTATGTATGCACTGTCAACTTGTATTAAGCACTTCAATGTCTTCTGTTCAACAAAATTGTGCAGACAAGCCTGTCTGAAATAGATTTGCCTTTTGAGTATGGACATGTCCTTGTGCACTTGCATGTGAAGTGTGTACATAGAGAAGCTTCTGTGAACTGATTGTACGTGAGGAGATTTGGGACGTATGTGTATGGAGAGTATGCGGAGAGACGAGTGGGAACAGAAGAGCCTTGCATAGTGTGTGTGTGTGTGTGTGTGTGTGTGTGTGTGTAGAAGAGCCTTGCAGTGTGTGTGTGTGTGTGTGTGTGTGTGTGTGTGTGTGTGTGTGTGTTCCTGACACTCATCTGTCTGACTCAACAGATCCTGTGGATGTGATCCTCTGTAGAATATCTTTGAGAAGTTAGGCCTACTATGACTAGACCTTGCAGAGATCTTGCTGGCAACCTGATCTACCTCTAATAGTTACATGTTATGCAAAATCCTGGTATGTAAAGTTATGCTGTCCCTATTGTGATGGCAGTGATCTGGCAGCATTTTTAAAATTATTATAGGCTCCCTCCCATCCATCCTGAGGCTCCCAAAGGCTTCCCCAGGGCAAAAGGGAACCCTAGAGAGCATCAAGACCTGAAGCGGGTGATGGGGGAGAACGTAAACTATTTAAAATTAATTTTTGGAGCCAGATCTGTTTAATCTGGCATAATTTTATTCAACAGGATTTTGCTCATTATTGATTTACTCAAGGGAAGCTGCTCTGTAGAAGTTATTAACTGTAAATAAGTACTGTATGGGTTGCTACTATAGTTAACATTTATTGGATTTCTCAGTACTGTATATAGAAAGCAGGATATTCTTTTTTTTTTTTAAGGCTTCCTCAGTATATTTTGTAATATTTTAGTCTTTGAGATGGATTATTGTTCAAACACAGATAACTTCATGTTTAAACATGGTGCTGAACTTGAATCTGTTGTACTTAAATATTTTTGCGCTTTAGTGTGTTTTAGGCTTTCTGATGTTTACGGAGCCTCAGTAAAGTAATGTCCCATCGTACACAATGGCAGATACTTGCATAGTTCTCTTCAAAAGAGGGGAGGTCTGCTGTTTAAGAGCAGAGTTACAGTGCCTACAAATGAAACTATGAATCAAAAAGGATGGAAAATGTTAAGTAAGAAATTCAGCAAGCAGTAAACTTGTTCAGAGGATCAAATATGCCTCCAAGCAACTGGACCTTCTCTTAGTTTTTCTGTTGAATCTACTTCCCTCTCGACTGGGGAACAGTTTATTGCTGTTATTAATTTAAATGTATTTAATGTGTTAATTTACTTTCAACCAAACAAGGTGAGCAAAGTAGGTAGCTATAATAACACCTCAGTTAAAAACAAAATACCGATTGACTCCCCCCTCCAAAACACAAATACATTAAAAACACAACAGTACAGACGTAGCTAGCAGTCCACTATTTAAACCCCCACTCAAAACCAGACCAGCTTAAATGTCATGTGGCTTTCTGATCTTTTTCAAAAAAATATTACCAGCTGGTAAAAGGACAACAAACAGGCAGAGGACTTAACTTTTTTAGATGGGATTTGCCATAATACAGGCATGACAATCATGACAATAATCTCTTGGGTCTTCACCAGATGTACCTCCAAAGCTAGTAGAACCGAGGAAAGCCATTTCCTCTGAAGATCTTAAAACCCAAACAGGCTCATTTGGGAGAATATGGTCTTTCAAGTAACCAAGTCTTAAGTCATACACGCTTCTCTGAGTCATAATCAGTACTTTCAATTATGTCTAAAAACTAAAAGCAGCATTAACCAGGAAAACTGTCATAAAAAGGCAATGACAAGATTAAATCCAGTGTTATTCCCAACTAGATTAGACTCACTGAAGTCAATGGAACATATATTGCATATGACAAAAAAGCATCATATGTAAACATCAATGAGTCTACTGTAGTTGGGACTACTATTGGATTTTTCTGACATGCAACATTCTTGACCTGCTGAAGCTTTTAAACAATTTCCAACTGTAGTCCCACACAGAGTGACTTTTAAAAATGTCCAAAATGTGTGCAGAGTGTCCAAAATTAATGAAATGCGTATTTGATCTCATGGTAACATGACATATCCACAGGAATACGTGTTATTGGCTCACTAACTGTAACTGTGCAAATGCACTTCTGGCCAACACTGAAACCTGGGCATTCAAATTTGTACAGAAACCTGCATTTACACCCATATTGTGAACCTGGGTTTTTAAGAGGAATATAACTCCGTTCAGTATTTCCTGATCTGCTTTTAAACTATCTTTGATTGGATTTAGCTTCCTTTTGTTTGCCCTCAATATTGGCTCACTAACTGTAACTGTGCAAATGCACTTCTGGCCAACACTGAAACCTGGGCATTCAAATTTGTACAGAAACCTGCATTTACACCCATATTGTGAACCTGGGTTTTTAAGAGGAATATAACTCCGTTCAGTATTTCCTGATCTGCTTTTAAACTATCTTTGATTGGATTTAGCTTCCTTTTGTTTGCCCTCAATCAGCACATTTTCAAATTTGTACAGAAACCTGCATTTACAACCATATTGTGAACCTGGTTTTTAAGAGGAATATAACTCCGTCCAGTATTTCCTGATCTGCTTTTAAACTGTCTTTGATTGGATTTAGCTTCCATTTGTTTGCCCTCAACCAGCACATTACCAACACCAGGCATAGTGTAAAACAGGAAGAGCTTTACTGGATTCAGATGAAAAGGGGAGGACCAACCTCTCCCAGTGATTTAATGCACACATGCTAATTAATATGGTGGACAGGAGATGCCACTGTCCATTAGCCATGGCATCCAACAAGAATAGTGTCAAAAATTACAGAGCTGACAGGGACACACTCCTGCTCAGAGTCACCCATCAGTGATACCCTGAAACATCTGGCATGAGACTTGTAGTGAGAGGCTTCATAGAAAATATGGAAGTGCTTTATTGTCTATTGCTGTTACACAGTAGGATTATATCCTCTATAAACCATTTAATGCAATCTTTTCCTTTAAAATCCCTGGCAATTTTCATAAGCAAAGCTTATATTTTATACTCAGAGACTTCAATAATCATAATAGTGGTTGTTGTGTGTTTTTCGGGCTTTTTGGCCATGTTCTGAATGTTGTTCTTCCTAACATTTCACAATTCTCTGTGGCTGGCATCTTCAGAGGAGAACACTCTGTGCTCTCATGTACTGTAGTTGGCTTGGGAGTGGAGTATTTATGGCTGTGAGATAGGCTTTTGTCTCACAGTCTTCGCAAATCATAGTAGTGTTTGGGGATGTGCACTTGATAATAACAATGGAGAAGTTCTGAATGTTGTTCTTCCTAACATTTCACAATTCTCTCTGGCTGGCATCTTCAGAGGAGAACACTCTGTGCTCTCGTGTACTGTAGTTGGCTTGGGAGTGGAGTATTTATGGCTGTGAGATAGCCTTTTGTCTCACAGCCTTCGCAAATCATAGTAATGTTTGGGGATGTGCACTTGATAAAAACAATGGAGAAGCAGTACTTATTCCTTCTTCTTTTTTCATGTCAGAAGCTGTTTAGGCATCCTTCAGTCTTGAGAGAATATGGTAACATGCTCTGAATAGAGGTCTTGGAACAGCGTCTGCTGTGGCTTAGAAGGCCAATACAAGAGTGACAATCCCTTCCACACTGAAGACAAATACAATCTGTCCCCTGTCCAGCTCCCTGATTTTGCTGCTTTCAGGACTGCCTCTTTGCCTCGGTCTGCTGGACAGGTGTCTCTTCAAATTGGGAGAGGGCATGCTGCACTGCCTTGTTTGTCTCTTCAAATTGGTAGAGGCCATGCTGCACTGCCTATTTCCAGGCTGAACACTCAGATATCACGTTTTCCCGCTTGCAGATATCCTTGTGTTGCAGCTGTGGTCTTCCTCTGGGTTGCTTTCCCTAGCAGCTGTGGTCTTCCTCTGGGGTGCTTTCGCTGCACTAATACATCAGGGTGTCAGAAGCACCCTGGTATAATTAATAAATAATTAGTAAATAGTGGTGCTAAAATGGGTAGAAATCTTCCAACTAGCCCTTACACATGCTAGCAAATTTCTCCAGCCGTCAGTAATGGAAAATACCAATGTGGCTATAACATGGGCTTTATATTCACTAGTGAGCGTGGGAAATCAGTCTGCACCCCAGCTCCAAATACAGTGTGCCTCACAAGATGAGCACCCCGTTTAACGACGAAATCGCATCATGATGAACATTTTTGCGATCGCAAAAGTGATCGCTTTACGATGTTTTAAATGGGTTTTTTTTGCTTTGCAGTGATCGGTTCCCTGCTTCGAGAACCGATTCTCGCAAAACAATGATTTTTGGCCAGCTGATTGGCGGTTTCAAAATGGCCGCTGGGTAAAAAAAAAAAAAGGCTCCCTGCTCATTTCTGGGGTGGATTCCTCACTGCACAAGCAGCGAAAATGGCTGTGCTATGGAGGCTCTTCGCTGGACGTTGAGTTTCAAACCCATAGGAACGCATTAATTGGGTTTTAATGCGTTTCTATGGGCTTTTTTATTTCGCATTACAATGTTTTCGTTCTACAGCGATTTCGCTGGAACGAATTAACGTTGTAATGCGAGGCACCACTGTATGTAGTACTGGATCATATAGTGCCACCTTACAGCAGCAGTCTGATCCTTGACAATACCATTACATAGGCGATATGTTTTAAAAAGCAAGTTGATTAAAACTGGATGGAATTATACAGAATATATTTCTGGCTCCAGAGAAATATTCACTGAGGAACCAAAAAGAGTATTCTGATTATCTGTACTTCAAGGATTAAAAACTGCCAGGGCCTAACACCAGAAGTAGTCACCCAAATGCGTAATTGTACTTCAGAATTTGCACAAAATCTTTTGAAGAAAACATTTTGATTGTGCAATGATTAATTTCTTTAGTCTCAGTAAAGAAGAGATATTTGGATAAAATTTATGGAAGGAAGAAACATGTCAAGAAATTGTTAAAAAAAACACCTGAAACATTAAAATGGCTTAGCAACTTATAGATTTTGTAATTTAAAAAATGTAAACGTTAGTCTTTAAGGTGTTACCATGTGTTTGCCTTTTTTAAAAAAAAACTTTTTATTTCTATTTGGCTTTTATCTATAAATTCGAAGAGGTTCTCTGTAAGTGCACCAAGGCTACTCCTAGGTATCGCCTTATTCAGAAACAAACCCTCCCGATCCCAAAGCAACTCCCTCCCTGCATGAGTGCTTAAGGCGCATCCCTTCCTTTCCTTGTTGTATAGTCGTTTAGTCATGTCCGACTCTTTGTGACCCCATGGAACAG